GAATCGATTCAAACACAAAGAATTTCTGATATGATATCTTGTTACCTTTTCCTTCTGCAGACCTATGCCGGCGTGCTAGTCGTGGATCGTATTTCTTCTTTTTGTCAAACCAGTACGAGCAGGAGAGAGTTTTGCCAAGTTCATTTAATCTCTGTTAATAAGCCTTTACACGTTAGGTTCTCTTTCTGTACAGATTAAAAGACCAGCAAACGCCAATCGAGTGGGTATATAGTCTTTGTATGGCAGCTATCGAAACCAACTCTTCCCATTTTGTATACTATTCCCACATAGCTATCGGAGCTTAGCATTACGTTACGAGGTGTATTGTCACTCCTCCTCTTATGAGATGAAAATATGCAATCCCCTTCTTTCATAGTTAGCATTCATTCAGTTTACACGACATTTTCTTGATGCATACAGCGGGTAAGAGAGTGGCACTTTTATACAATCCTTCTTGTCCAAGATCGCTGCATAATAACCCGTGCGAGGTTTGAAACAGACTATTTTGACGCTAAAATACAAAAAAGTCTTGTAAAGCTTTTTTTCCCCTCTTTTTCCGCTAAAACGTCCTCTAGTCGGAAGTGAAAGTTTGCACCAGTCAGGGCAAAGTAGGTCCGCAACGCGTGCGGATCCTTAAATTTGGGGAGCAATGTGGCATTAGATCTAATCGGAACGATGAAAAAATTGATTCATTAACAAGATAAACAAACTCACAATACATGATATCATATCTGGATATCATCTTAAGATTTTTTTTCTAAAAAAAAAAAAAACAGAACATTTATTTCGTCATGTTCCTTCACATATAATCCTCTCCCACAAGCCAAGTTCCGTCTTAATAGCCCAACCCCCATACCCCTTAATTGTATTCTGTTATAATTATACACGCCTCTATTTCATTATTATCATTATCATTATTTAAGTACAAATTACAGACATAGCTAAAATTACTACACAGAAACGAGGATTGGCGCAATTGCTGTTGTAAGCATTTTCACCAAAATTAACATTACAACTGTTCTAAAAAATATTAATTATATTAACAATAATAAGACTTTTAAATTACTGCACAGCCTCACTATTATAATGAAGTTAAATACAGTTACTATTGGGAAAACTAATACAATCATTGTAATTATTACTAATGCAAAAAAAAAGAATTCAAATTCAACGGAGCTGCAAAGAGAACTACAGTGAGTTCAGTAATTTAAAACTTACAAGAGCTCTAAGCAGCTATGATTAGTGACACGTTTCCTGAAAAAAGACAAAACCAGCAAAAGTAAGGAGACTCTGTACGCAACAATATAAACAAATTAATGTGTCAGTCACTCTTCTCGAAAAGTTAAACTGGATAAGAAAATCCTTTAAACATTTGCACTCACGAAAATTCTCAGCAGTATTCAGAAATTTTCAAGCAGAAAGGTGATTAGAAAAGGGAGTAATATTTCTGAATTTAGCTGTACAAAGCAGCAAATTGCAATTCCATCTTAATTATCGAGATAACGCACACCTTTGGAGATTACCAAGGTTAGGTAATGCTACTCGAAAACGTTTGCAAAGTTCATTGAATTTCTTTGCGTGGAAACTGAATTTAGTTCTTCACTTCATATTCACAATTAAAATAATAAAACACTTTTAGCATGGAATCGTCGGTCATGCGTGCGAAATTGTCCTGTACGAGTGTGGTCGAATTTTGTCACCAGCAGTCTACGTGTAAGTTGGCAAACAGGGCCATTTAATCAAGAAGTTCCTGAAAACTGTTCCTTATTTAGGCGCTGAAACAGAAACTTATTCCGACAAGTGTGCGTTAAAAATAAATGATTCCATAGGTTTCATTTCTCAAAAAAAAAAAACTAAAAAAAAAAAGAGTAATCACTCCACTCCTAGAAACAGAATAAAAAACACATTGAAACACATCAAACTAAGGCTACTCTTGCAAATCTGAATAGGGTGGAGAGGATGAGGGCTCATTAGGTGACTCATCCCTCCCCTAGGTCTCGTTTTATACATGATTAGCGATGTGACGTGTCAACTGCACCCAGCTCTCAACTTATTCAGTTAGACATGGATGTTCAACAGCTCTTTACAAGTCTCAAGAAGGAAGCCGAGTGTCCACTGTGTCTAGAAACAGTCAAAGATCCCAAGACATTGCCATGTCTACACTCGTTCTGCCTGTGGTGTATCGACAAACACGCATGATATGCAAAAAGAAAGTTAGAAGCGACGATCAAATGTCCAGTTTGTCAGGCTTGCTTTCAGATCCCTGAGGGAGACACGTTTAGCAGCCTTCCCACATCTTTTCATCTCAACCGATTGGTGGATCTTCTCGCTCTAAGAGATGACAGCGAAGAGGCTCAGAGATGCAGCAGTTATGAAGAAAACAACACGGCCACTTGCTACTGCTTTGTTTGCCAGAACTTTCTTTGCAAGGATTGTTTTGATGCCCATCAACGCCTGAAGGCCACAAGAGGTCATCGCAATGTTTTGATCGAAAACTTGCAAGCGCAAGATGT